CAACACAGGTTGATTGGATAGATATTCTTTGATCTTGTCAAATGCCTGTTGACATTCGCTTGTCCATTTCACCGCAACATTCTTTTTTAACAACTTGAAGATAGGTTCACATATGACAGTAGACTGAGCTATGAAATGACAAATGTAGTCAAGTCGCCCTAAGAAACTCATTACCTCCTTCTTGCTTTTTGGCGGGGGAAGGTCACGATTGGCTTTGATCTTTGATGGGTCCAATTCTATACCTCGACGACTGACAATGAAACCTAAAAGTTTTCCAGCAGGCACACCAAAGACACATTTCGCTGGATTCAGTTTCAGACTGTACTTGCGTAGCCTGGCAAAGAATTTCCGTAAGTCCTCCAGATGATTTGGACTTTCCTTTGATTTGATGATGACATCATCCACATAAACTTGAATTTCCTTATGGATCATGTCATGAAACAAAGTAGTCATTGCTCTTATGTATGTAGCCCCAACATTCTTTAATCCAAAAGGCATCACCTTGTAGTTATAGACGCCCCATGGCGTGATGAAGGCAGTTTTCTCAGCGTCGTCTTTGTGCATCTCAATTTGATGATAGCCGGCAAAGCAGTCCACAAATGACTGAGTTTCGTGCTTAGCACAATTGTCAATCAGTATGTGTATGTTTGGTAAGGGAAAGTTATCTTTAGGGCTAGCTTTATTGAGATCTCAGTAATCCACGCAAACTCTGACCTTGCCGTCTTTCTTGGGCACTGGAACGACATTTGCAAGCCAAGTTGGGTATTCTGTCACTTGGAGTATCCCAACATCTAATTGCTTTGATACTTCTTCTTTGATTTTCAGACTGATCTCGGGCTTGTATTTTCTCAGCTTCTGTTTTCCCGGAGGACATACTGGATCAGTGGGCAGTCGATGGGCTACGATTGAAGTACTTAGCCCTGTCATGTCTGCGTAGGACCACGCGAAAATATCCCTATTCTCTATGAGAAACTTGGTATACTCTTTCTTGTCTTCTTTTGTCATATGGATGCTTACTCGGGTTTCTTGTATCGCCTCTGCATTTCCCAAATTACCACTTCTATCTCTACCAAGTTTGGATTGGGTTTTTCCTCGAATTCCTCAACCCTTTTGATTAACTCCTCGGGAACCTCATTGTCTTCGACTTCTTCTAAGTCATTAATGTTAAGTTGAGCAGTCTCATTGTATGCCATAGTCTCAGATTCGACATTTTTATAGTGAATTTTGTTGGTGAGAAAGAAAAATAGCAAACAATTAAATATAAGGCAAAAATGGGAAAAAGAACTATATTATAAAAATTTGAAAATTTCATAAGTTCTCATTTGAAAGCAATACAGGGGATGAGAATTAAAACGTTTATTAAAAACTCTTTTTATTTGAATTAAAACTTGATAAAAAACATCTTCCAAGGCTACCTAGATGCTCGACGAGGTCTGGATGGAGTCGAGGTCCAGTTGCTGACGCTGATCTTTGGTTCCTTGCTTCCACCCTTTCTCCTCCTCGTTGATCACGACGTTGCAAACTTTCCCCTCTTCTTTGGTTAGCGATTACCCCTTCAAGTCATCTGAGATCTCATCAATACTGCCTCCCATGAAACATGCTGATTGAAATGATTGATGCAATGGCGGTATGGGTTTCTTCAATGGATAGTAGTACCCATCTCTAGGTGGTTTCCAATCGAGCCATTCTTCGGTAGTGTACTTATATCCCAAACCAAAAGTGGTGGAATGTCGAACAGGTTGTATAGGTTCGACTATCCCTTGCAATTCAGCCCCAAAACCTTTCCCAAGCTCGAAACCGAACCAGGCCATCATATCTATGATTTTTTGGCTGAACCAAAGTTGCAACTCAATATTACCAACAAGCTCCACTGTATGGTACATTTCACCATCCATATTCTCTCTTCCTTCAATCGTGTATACAGGATGCCCCTTTTCTCCATGGACTACAACCTCTTCGTAATCCCATTCAAACTTCAGACATTGGGGAAGAGTAGATGGAACCACTCCAGCCATATGAATCCATGGACGACCCAACAATAAGTTCTACGATGAAGGGATGTCCAAAATTTGGAAAGCTATGGGGAAAGTGACAGGACAAATGAGCATGTCCAAGGTTATCTCCCCAATAGTGCCTCTCTGAGAGCCATCAAATGCCCTCACATTCATCTTCCATGTCTGAATTTTTGCACTATCCACGCCTAGCCTCGTCAGTGTGCTCAGAGGGCAAATGTTTAAACCTGAACCTGCATCAACTAATGCTTTGTTTATCACCTTATCCTGATACTGAACCGAAATGTACAGAGCTTTATTGTTAGTTGTTCCTTCGAATGGCAGCTCATCTTTGTGAAAAGATATTTTGTTAAGACTCAAAGACCTGCCCCACCATTGGGGTAACCTCTCCATGAGTGATGTTAGATGGGACATAAGCTTCACCAAAGATATTCAGAAGGGCATTTCGATGAGTTTCAGAAGATTGCAGTAACTCCAGAATTGATATTTGGGATGAGGTTTTACTCAGCTGCTCAATGACAGAGTATTATTTAGCTTGAACCTTTTTCCAAATACCTTGATCTTCAAGCTCTACGACTGGTGCTTTGGATTTGCTAGAGCTTCCCTGAACCAAATTTTCAGAAGTGTAAATTCTTCCAGATCTGGTGACCTCTGTTGCAACATCTGTCTCTTCCACATTCATTTCTCTTATGTTGTAATCCCAAGGTACAACATGTGTATCACATTGTATTGGGGAGGATGCCCTATAGACAGTGAACGGTGGTTTGGGTGCAACAACTTCTACTTCAAATGGGGTGACTCCTTGCACTATTAGTGGTGCTTGGGCAGTGGTAGACATGGCTTCTTCTGTTTCGACGGCCCAGATAGATTCTTCCCAATCCCAGACATCACCAGTTTCCACCATGTTAACTTGATGGTTAGGAAGAGGATTATTCGCAACATTCGGTGTAGGATCCTTGAGTTGGATGGTTTTTGTATCAATCAACATTTGAACCTTATCCTTAAGGGCTCTGCAAACTTCAATGGTGTGACCCTTCATCCCAGAATGGTAGGCACAGACCTTGTTAGGGTCGTACCATTTTGCGCGAACATCCACAGGTAATGCAGGAAATGGGGAGATGTACCCAGCCTATTTCAATCTTTCATAAAGTTGTGTTATAGGTTCAGCCAAAGGGGTATAGATTTTTGTAGGTCTTCATTCATAGGAAGGCCTATTTCGGTAATTTGGTGTTTGAGTGGGTGGTGGAGTTTGGAAGTGTGTTGGTTGAACATTATAGACAGGATATAAGGCATGCAAATATGGAGGAGGAGCGTTTTTGTAATATATTGGCATGGGTTGGGGAGATATAGGGGGTGGAGCTGAGGGATGTTGAGGGTATAGGGTGTGAGGGTATGGGGAAGGTGGTGGGTTTATTGCCTTGTTCCTCAAAGGGGTCTTAGTTCCATGAGCCATCATTACAGAACCTGCTTTCTTTCGACTTTTTGTCATTCCACCAGATTGCAGAGCCTTGTTGGTTTCTTGTAAAGCCTCCAAGTTGATGATAGTCCCATTTTTTATGCCTTCTTCAATTCTTTCGCCTAGTTTGATGATTTCAGCGAAACTCTTTTCAGCCACCAGCATCATTTGGTCATAGTATTGTGGTTCTTGGGCACGGATGAAATAGTCTTTCATTTGAGATTCCTCCATAGGGGGTCTGGCCCTAGCCGCTTCAGACCTCCATCTTATGGCATATTCTCTGAAGGATTCACTCGGTTTCTTCTTCAAATTTTGAATGTTAAGCCAATCAAGTGCATTTTCAATATTAAAACCAAACCTATTCATGAAATCAGTTGCCATATCAACCAATTCTACCCATTTCCGCGAGTCTTGCTTGATATACCATGATAGGACCTCCCCAGTAAGACTCCTCATAAACAGTTTCATGAGTATCCTCTCATCTCTTCCCACCCCTACAAGTTTGTCACAATACATTCGTAGGTGGGCTTTGGGATCCCCAATGCCATTGAACATCTCAAATTTTGGAAGCTTGTATCCTTCGGGAAGTTTTGCATCAGGGTGCATGCACAGATCCTCATATCTCAATCCTCATAACTTCTTATTTCCTTCAACATGTTGTACCCTGTTGGTCAAGTTGTCTAATCTCTCAGTCAGGTTTTTTATATAAGGATGTCTTTTTTATAGGACTCTAATTCATGGAGGTCATGGGTTAGAGGGGCAGTTTCCACGTATATTGGATTGAGGTTGTTGTTTACAAGAGTATATGGGATGTTTACATTTGGGGTTGTTTCTGGGAAGGTTGGTTTGGTTTGTTGGTAATAGTGGTGAAATGGAACTTGGGTATTTTGGGCGTGGGGTGGTGGAAAGGTATTTGGACGAGTGGGTTCAGGTCGGGATATATTGATTGGAGGATTATTTGTCATGGTTATTTGGTTAAGAGGATTGTCTATGTTTTCTCCAAATTGGGTTCCAAGAGAGATAGACAACTTGGCCAAATCACGCATCTGGGCTACCTCTTCTTCCAACTGTGAAATCTTGCGCTCAAGTCTTAGGACAAGATTATTTTGAAGTTGTCCTCCCTCAGAAGCTTCTACCCTTTCGTTGGTGTTGTTGTCGTCAACCATTTTACCTTTGTCTTTGGAGCTTGATCTTTGAGAAGAAGGAGAAGGGGGGTCCCTTTTGATCGTGTATGTGCCAGGATGAAGGAAAGATCAACCTTAGGAAATGGGAAAACAATAGAATCAACAGAAAAGAGTTAGGGGTTAGGATAATATCATAATATCAACACGTTGTTTTGAGATAAACGCCCTAAATGCACGGAACCTCGTTGAGCCAGAGGTAGGCCTAAGCGACACATAAGTGATGCATAATAATTAATTCAAGCCTTATTTGCCAATTTGGAGTTTAGAGTTAGACAATAAAACAACTTTCAATTATTGAAATAATTTTTATTTATTACATCAATCTAGAGATAACTAAAGGGCTAGGGATAACACATGTGGAATAAAGATAAATAAAAAAAACTTTAATTATGTTGCTCTCCAATGTTAGACACAATCTGCTTCCTCATTTATGGGGTAATGTCATTATCGGTGTTGAGGAGATTGCGAGCCCATCTTCTCTCTTTTTCATCGCCAAAACCAGGAAGACCTCTTTCGCTCAAATCTCTATGCTCTGCATCTTCTAAAAGCCATACGTAATATTTAGGTGTGCAGAAGGGTCGGTGCTCTTGAACATCAATAGTTATCACATTCTTCCATCTTCGCAGTATAGTGTTCATTTGCGGTAATTCTGACCCAAAGTCATATCCATAGTGGCTCATGTGGGATGGCAGAGGTATCAATTCGATCTGTCCAAATTGTCGAAGGACTCGAAGTGGTGTGTATGGTTGCACACCATTCAAACCAATAAGCTCAATGAAGTAAAGTTCATTTCCTCTTATGATGGCACGTCTTGGCTTCAACCAATAATACTTCCATTAGATTTCAATGGCTGAGCGCTCCTTTAGCTTTGTGAACCAGTCCTCCATTCCCACAGGGGATATAAAATATGTCATCCTTAGGCGATGGTTGATAATTTTGTTCCCCATAGTTCCTCTAACAATGTCTACTTTATTAGCTCTTTGGTAGAAATGTTCGACGGCCTAAAGTTGCAGCAGCAAGTTGCACCCCTCAGAGTATCTTTTGCCTTTGGTGCATGCAGTCAAAGTTCTTAGAATTTCTTCAAGTATCATGGGGACCAAGGTCTTCCCACCTCGAGCCAACATACGAACCACGTAACACAAGCCGGTGTGGATCTTTCCTTTTTCTCTAGGAAAAACCAATGAGCCTAATAGGGCGACGGCGAATGCATTAAGACGATATCTTTCCCATTTTGCAGAAGAGCAAGCAAATTCTCTGTGAAAGTTTTGATGACCTTCCTCATCCCCAAAGCGTGAATATAAGAACTCTAAAGAAATCCAACCTTCTTTCAGACAAAGTAGACTTGGATTATGGCACATACCCATTTGCTTCAGAAAAGATCTTGGACTTGGCTTGTGTGGAACAATCATTTCCAGCTCTTTGTATGCGAGACCCATGAATCCTCCAACTTCTTCGATTGTTGGGGTTAGCTCAAAATCCTTGAATTTGAAGACTAACCTCTCAGTGTCCCAGAATTTCAACAATGTCTTGATTAAGTGACGATCTGACTCTACGGAGATCAAAGCAGTGAGGCCGCCTAATAGTTCATTTGCTTCTAACTCTTGATTTTTTTGAATATCTTTCCACCAAGTCTTCAAAATGGGATTAACTTTGACCACCATTTGCGTGTTGGGAAAGTGAGGGTGAGCCATGACTCTGCAAACAAAGTAACAAACGACTTCTAAACTCCATTTTGACAACGTTGGCTTGATTTAATTATTATGATCACGTTAACACATAAATATGAAATTTGTCTAAGGGTGTTGGGGCCCTTTAAACGAGAGGGTGGCTACTAATTATGTGGATTGACACCAAGGGTAAAACCACATAGGGCTTATGCAGCATGTGTGACTTAACCAGAACTTCTAAGAGTTGGCTTGACACGGACATAAAAGCATGCGAGAGGCTCGTGGCTTCGCGGTAGTAAAACTATCTGTTACATCCACGCATATGCCGACTCTCTATAATGGGTATTTGAATAGGATTGGAGTAGTTGTGAGAGGTGCAAACGCACAACATCACGAGAACAAAATTAAAAAAAAAGAGGGTCCCAATTGCGGGAAGTATGAGCGGAATGTCAATTATCAAAGCAATAAACATTTAGCATTTAAATTGAAAAGCACTAACATATAGACAGTTTATAAACAATAAATAGATAAATAAGCATGGATGAATAAAGAAATTTAAACATATCAAAATATTAAAATCACGCAAATAAGGAAAGAGGATACGAGATTAAACATGTAAGCAAATAAGGAAAAAGGAAAAAGGTGAAACATGGTAATAAACAATTAAGGAAAAGGGAAAGGGTAGAACATGGAGAGAAGACAGTAAATAAGGCAACAAAATAAACTAAACATGGTAACCACCTAACAAATAATGAAATGACGAAAAATAAAGTAAACCCCACATAAATAAGCAATTAACACGTAATGGTAAGAACCTAATATTCCCCCGCAGAATCGCCATTCTGTCGCGCCTCATTTTCGCAGAAAACGGGTTTTGTGCACGACCTAACAACTCTTTTGAGATTTCGAGTTTGGAGACGCCACCTAACGAATTAAGGCGCGTTAGCGCACCTATCTAACCTAACTAAGTCTAACTAAGGTCAATGAGCCAGAGATTAGGGTAAGAGTTCAAATTACCTCGAGGGGAAGGTGTTAGGCATCCCTCGAGGTCCACAAGTGTGGGTCCCGATCGTATCTCATGCAATCTATGTGGGGGTTACAATTAGCAATCAAGGTCACTTCATTTATTAATTTATTTAATCTTGCTAAGTGATATAAAACAATTAATACTATTTTAATATTTTTTATTAATTTGAGCATGCAAGGCTAGGTGATAGCAATAAATAAACAATCAAGTTTTATTTTTATTTAAGGATATGAGACTATGTTATAAACAAAATTTGCAAATATTAAGCAATTAACATGTGCGAAAGTAAAGTTTTTAAAATTGAGCAAGTTTTGAGTAGAATTTTTTTTAAAAAAAATGTTTGTTTCTTTATAGGGATGATGCCACGATATTGTTGATCGCGCTCCTCCACCATAGAAACAATTTTGATTTGAGGTCGGTCTTAAAAAAATAATAGTTTATATTTTTTTGAAAATGATTCAAAAGATTTAGTTTGCATATAGGCACATAAATATTTACATATAAATACACATAATTCCTTTTGAAATTCAAGGGTAGGGGGTACTTCCGAGGACCCGTCGGTTTAATTTAAAAAAATTGGAACTAGACCTCATAGTTCCTTTGACTTTCCCACTAACGATAGGTTAGGAGATAGTGCTTATAATTTATTTTAAAAAATAAACAATGTCATAATCAATCCAAAGTTTTAAAGGAAGATTGAATAATGACTTTTAAAAAAATTATGTTGCAAAACTTTGTATGTAAGAAAAAAAAACTATTAGAACATTAAGGTGGTAAATTTATAAAATGCAAAGGTTTGAAATATATTTTAAAAGCTAAGTAATTTGTTAAGTGCATGAAATGATTCTAATTATTATTTTAAGAAAACGACATATTGCATCATGAGTGCAAAAACTTATAAAAAGGACAAATATTAACTAATTTTAGTAACACATGCATGCATGATTTTGTAAATCTAAATGATATGAACAAATTAATCCTTAGGCGTGGTTTCTATGTGACAAGACAATGCTAAAAGTTATAACATTTTTTAAAACACCTAATCAGCCTACTAAATTATTATGACGATTTTAACATTCAAAAATTAATGGAATCTAGTTTTTTTTTTAAACTTATTAACAAAAGCGTCAAGCAAATTGAAAATTAGTTAGATTATAACACCTACAAACAATAATTCTAGATGGTTAAAGATAAGCCTATAGGCATGATTTCTAACCCTTTTTTTAAAAAAATACAATGAACAAGTAGGCATGTAAATCCCCCTCCCTTAGACGATCCCCAAATAAATTTATATATGAGAGCTTTAGAGTTACAAATGTTACAACATTCGAATAAATAAAATAAGTAT